CCACCCCCTTTTTGTACAGAGAAAGAGGAAACTCGGCAATATCAGAAATACACTATGATGGTTGAGATAATCGTCTGTATAATACGGTCACCGCAGGCAGATTACACAGAGGGTTAAACACACACAGTAGCGTTCTCTTTAGAGGCAGGAATTTGTAAATTGCAATAAAGAGCTATAGAAACAGTTCAGCATTTTCAGAAGGAAAGATTTATTACTAAAAGGTCAAACGGGTGCAATAAAAATATTTACAGAAAAGATGTAACTAAGATATATATATAAATATACAGAGACCAACAGCACAGCAAAGAGGTATCAGAGAGGTGAAAGGGTTCAGGTACTTGCCATGAAGCCTTGGATGTAAGCAGATCCAAGTTTCAGAGTGAAAGGGCACGGGTCTCCCCAGGTGGTATTGATGTTAAATGGGAGAATTCTTCAACTTCTTTCTCTTAGGCCTGACAGCCTATTTTGTAGTCCCCAGCAGGGGGTGTCTCTGAAGTCAAGGACCAATACCCCCTTTAGGGCGTGGAGGTGTGGGTGAAATACCTCAACTAGAGCCAAAATCTCCCATAACTCCTATTTTGGCCCATAACTTTCCTATGCACAAGTGACATTCCACCTGCGGGCAGATTATTATGCAGACACGTCTGAAGATTGATTGGATAGGAATTATGAAATGATACACTGAACGGTTCATGACATCTACTTTTCTATGTATTCCGGCCAAGGAGAGTGACCTATCAAACTGTTTGTCCTCTCGTGGCCAATCTGACGATATGTCCGGTTTTTATGCAAGTCTCTCATATTCCAAGATAGGAGGCATAGGGGACAAATGGATGTTTAAAAAGGTTATCTGGTTTCCTGCTTCTCAGGAATGCCTTGAACTCCCGGGAAGGCTGAGGTATCTTTTTACGAGGTGCTAAATTGTACAGCTCTGGTAGACAACCCCGAAATGTGTTAGAGCTCTGGGGCTCCCTGCTGGGCTCTGCCTGTGACACCTCTTAACACACAGGCCATATATCAATGGAGAATGAGGGGACAACATGGAGGCTGCGTCCTTCACTGTGTGCACGCTTGTTACACAAACTATTGAATGTGGGGGGGGAGGGAGCATTTCATTGGTTGACTTGTCGCCATGTTGTTTTCTGATTGGCCCATTCTGGTGTCACCTCCAGTTACAGAATAGGAATCGCAGAAGAAATACAAGAAATGGGTTCTGCCGGCTCACTCATCGTCCGTCCTGTATATTCCCGACTCTCCAGGAGAGGGCGCTCTTCACCACTGCATAACTCCCTCCTGCCTGTCTCTGTGTCTCTCTCCCCTCGTCTGCCCTGTATTTTCCCGATTCTCCAGGAGGGGGCACTCTTCACCTCTGTCTCTCTCTTTGCCTTTCTCTGTCTCCCACCCGCCTGTCCCTCCTGCCTATCTCTCTCCTGCCTTTGTGTGTGTCTCTCTCCTGCCTGCCTCTGTCTCTCTCCCCCCTGCCCGCCCGTCTCTCTCTCTCTCCTGCCTTTATGTGTCTGTCTCTCCTGTCTGTCTCTGTCTCTCTCCCTCCTGCCTGTCTCTGTGTCTCTCTCCTGCCTGCCTCTGTCTTCTCCTGCCCTCTCCCCCTCCTGTCTCTCTCCTGCCTGTCTCTCTCCCTGCTCTCTCTCTCCTCCTGCCCGTCTCTGTCTCTCTCTCTGCCTTTGTGTGTCTGTCTCTCCTTTTGTCTCTCTCCCCCTGCTTGTCTCTCTCTCTCTCTCTCTCTCTGTCTGTCTCTTCCCTGCCCGCCTCTCTCTCTCCTCCTGTCTGTCTCTGTCTCTCTCCTGCCACTGTTTCTCTCTCTCTCTCTTTCCTGCCTGTCTCTCCCTCCCTCCTGCTTTCTGTCTCCCTCCTGCATGTCTCTGTGTCTTTTCCCTCCCTCCTGCTGTCTCTCTCTCTTGTCTGTCTCTTTCTCTCCCCCTTCTCTTTTCCTCTTCTTTCTGTCTCTCTCCCTCCTTTCCTTTCTTTTCTTTTTTCTTCTCTTTTTTTTTTCTTCCCCTCTCTTCTTTTTTTTTCTCTTTTCTCCTTTTGTCTCTTCCTCTCCTCTCTCTTCTCTTTCTCTTTTCTTCCCTCCTGGCTTCTTGCCTCTCCTTTCTCTCTTTTCTGTCTCTCTCTCTCTTTTTTTCTTTTTTTTTCTCTTCTCTCTGTTCTGTTTCTCTCTTTCCTGTCTTCTCTTTCTCTCTCTCTCTTCTCTTGTCTCTCTCTCTCTCTTTCTGTCTTCTCTCTCCTGCTGTCTTTTCTCTCCCTGCTGCTTCTCTCTTCTCTCCTGCCTTTTCCCTGTCTCTCCTGCTTCTCTCTCTCTCTTTCTTCTTCTCTCTTTCTGCTTCTCTCTTCTCTGCCTTCCTGTCTCCTGCTTTCTCTTTCTCTCTCCTGCCTGTCTCTCTCTCTCTGCCTGTCCTCCTTTTTTCTGTCTCTCTCTTTCTGTCTTTCTCTCTCCTGTCTCTCTCTCCTTTCTGTCTTTTCTCTCTTTCCTGCCTTCCTCTGTCTCTCTTCTCTTCTTTCTTCTTCTCTCTCTTTCCTCGCTCCTCTTTCTCTTTCTCTCTCTCTTCTCTCTTGTTTTCTGTCTCTCTTTCTCCACCTCTCTCTCTCTCTTTTCTGCCTGTTTTTCTTCTGTCCCTCCCTCCTGCTCTGTCTCCCTCCTGCTGTCTCTGTGTCTCTTCCTCTCTCTGCCTCTCTCTCTTTGTCTGTCTCTTCTTCCCCTTGCTTTCTCTCTCTCTCTCTGCCTTTTCTTTCTCCACTCCCTCTGCCCTGCCTTTTCTCTCTCTTCTGTCTTCTTCTTTTTCTTTTCTCTCTCCTTTTCTGTCTCTTTTTTCTCTCTCTCTTTTCTCCCCCCCTTTTTTTTTCCTGTTCTCTCCTTCTCTCTTTTTTTTTTTCCTTTCTTCTCTCTTTTTTCTCTGCTGTCTTTTCTCTCTCTGCCTGTCTCTTGTCTTTCTCTCCTCTCTCCTGCCTTTCTCTCTTTTTCTCTCTTTCCTGGCTGAATCTTCTGTCTCTCTTTCCTTTTTTTCTTTTTTTTTTTTTGTCTCTCTCCTTCTTTTTTTTTCTCTTCTCTTTTCTCTCTCTCTCCTGCCTTTCCTCACTCTCTCTTTTGCTGTCTCCGTCTCTCTCTCCCTGTCTTCTCTCTCTCCTGCTGCCTCACTTTTTCTCTCTCCTTTCTGTCTCTCTTCTCTCCTCCTTTCTTTTTCTCCTCCTGTCTCTTTTCTTCCTTCTCCTGTCTTTTTTTTCTCCTTTCTTTCTTCTTGTTCTTTCCTTTTTTCTCTCTTTCTTTTCTGTTTTTCTCTCTTTTCCCTCTTCTTCTCTTCTCTGTATCTTTCTCTTCTTCCTCTCCCTTTCTCTCTCTCTCTCTCCTTTTTTTTTCTCTTTTTTTTTTCTCTTGCCTTTCTTTTTTCTCTGTTTTTTTTTTCTCTCTCTCTCTCCTCTTTCTCTTCTTTTTCTCTCTCTTCTCTCTCCTCCTGCCTTTCTCTCTCCCCCCTCTTTTTTTCTGCCTGTCCCTCTCTCTCTTCTTTCTCTCTCTCTCTCTTTTTCCTTCTCTTCTCTGCCTGTCTCTCTCCTTTCCTGCCTTTTTCTCTGTCTCTCCTCCCTTTCTCTCTCTCCTCTCTCTCCTGTCTGTCTCTCCTGTTCCTCTCCCTCTTCTGCCTCTCTCTCTCTGCTGCTGCTGTCTCTCTCCTGCTCTTTCTCCTTTCCTCTGTCTCTCTTTTTTTCTGCCTGTCTCTCTTTTGTCCTCTCTCTCTTTCTCCTCTCTCTCTCTCTCTCTCCTCCTCTTTCTTTTTTGTCTCTCTTTTTTTTCCCTTCTTGCTCTGTCTCTCTCCTCTCTCTCTCTTCTGCTGCTCTCTCTTCTCTCTCTTCTCTCCTCCTGTCTCTCTCCTCCTTCTTCTTCTTTTTCTTGTCTTCTCTCTCCTGCCTGCCTTTTTCTTTCTCCTGTCTCTCTCTTCCTCTGTCTTGCTCCTGTTTCTTCTGCCTGCTCTCTCTTTTTTTTCTCTTTGCCTGTCTCTCTCTTCCTGCCTGTCTTCTCTCCCTCCCTCTCTCTCTCCTGCTGTCTCTGTCTTCTCCTCCTTTCTCTCTCTCTCTCTCTCTCTCTCCTGCTTTTGCCTGTCTATGGCTCTCCTGCCTGTCTCTATTCTCTCTCCTGCCTTTCTCTGTTTTCTCTCTTGCCTGCTCTTTCTCTTTCCTCTTGTCTCTCTCTCTCTTTTTCCCTGCCTTGTCTTCTCTCTCTCTGCCTGTCTGTCTCCCTCTCCTGCTCTCTCTTTCTTCTTTTTTGTCTCTCTCTTCTTTGCTTCTCTCTCTCTCTCTCTCCTGCCTGTCTCTCTCTCCTGCCTGTCTCTGTTTTCTCTCTCTCTGCCTGTCTTTTTCTCCCTCTCTTCTTTCCTCTCTTTCCTGTCCTCTCTCTCTCTTCCTGCCTGCCTCTCTCTCTCTCTTTGTCTCTGTTTCTCTGTTTTGCCTGTCTCCCTCCCTCTCTGCCCGCCCGTCTCTGTGTCTCTCCCTTCCTCCCTCTGCCTGCTCTCTCTCTCCTGCCTGTCTCTGTTTCTTTCCTCCTGCCTGCCTCTCTCTCCTGCCTGTCTCTCTCTCTCTCCCTCCTGCCTGTCTCTCTCCTGTCTCTCTCTCCCTCCCTCCTGCCTGTCTCTCTCTCTGTCTGTCTCTCTCTCCCTCCCTCCTGCCTGTCTCTGTCTACCTCCTGCCTGTCTGTCTCTCCCCCCCCTGCCTGTCTCTGTCTCTCTCCTGCCTCTCTCCCTCCCTCCTGTCCTGCCTCTCTCTCTCTCTCCTGCCTGTCTCTCTCTCTCTCCTCTCTGCCTGTCTCTCTCTCTCCCTCCCTCCTGCCTGTCTCTGTGTGTCTCTCTCTGTGCAGCTCTCAGTCTCCTCCCCGCTCTCCCTGCAGATTTTTCCCAGAATGCTCTCTGTGCAGGGAGGGCTTTTGGGCTGCAGCAGGAGACGCTCACACTGCAGGAAGAGACAGTCTGAGTACAGAGATCGCAGGGAGAGAGAGAGAGCAACAAGGGGCACAGAGACAGCCAAGTGACAGCCAGAGAGTGACAACCAGAGACAGCCAGAAAAACAACTAGGGAGTTCAAAGAGGGACAATCAGAAAGTGACAACCCGAGAGTGCAGAGAGAGACAACCCGAGAGAGACAACCCGAGAGCGCAGAGAGAACCCGAGAGAAACAACCCGAGAGCGCAGAGAGAACCCCCGAGAGACAACCCAAGAGAGACAACCCAGAGTGCAGAGAGAACCTGAGAGAGAGAGAACCTGAGAGAGACAGAGAGAGAACCTGAGAGAGACAACCCTGAGAGTGCAGAGAGAACCCGAGAGAGACAACCCGAGAGAGCGAGACAGAGAGAGACAACCCGAGAGCGCAGAGAGAGACAGACCTGAGAGAGAACCCGAGAGTGCAGAGAGAGACAGAGAGAGACAACCCGAAAGTGAGAGAGACACACCCGAGAGAGAGAGCAGAGAGACAACCTGAGAGTGCAGAGAGAACCTGAGAGTGCAGAGAGAGACAAACCCAGAGAGAGACAACCCGAGAGAGCAGAGAGAACCTGAGAGAGTGCAGAGAGAACCTGAGAGTGCAGAGAGAACCCAAGAGAGACAGAGAGAGAGCGCAGAGACAACCCGAGAGAGAGAGAGCAGAGAGAACCCTGAGAGTGCAGAGAGAACCCCCGAGAGAGACAACCCGAGAGAGCAGAGAGAACCTGAGAGTGCAGAGAGAGACACCCGAGAGAGACAACCCGAGAGCACAGAGAGAGACAACCTGAGAGAGAGACAACCCGAGAGTGCAGAGAGAGACAACCCTGAAGAGAGAGAGAGAACACCCGAGAGTGCAGAGACACAACCCAAGAGTTCCCGAGAGAGAGCGCAGAGACAACCTGAGAGAGCAGAGAGAACCCGAGAGAGAGAGAGAGACAACCCGAGAGAGCAGAGACAAACCCAGAGTGCAGAGAGAGTGCAGATACAACCCGAGAGTGCAGAGAGAGAGACAACCCGAAAGAGCAGAGACAACCCGAGAGCGCAGAGAGAGACCCCGAGAGAGAGACACAACCCGAGAGTGCAGAGACACAACCCAGGAGTTCAGAGAGAGACAACCCAAGACTGCAGAGAGAGACCTGAGAGCAGCAGAGAGACAACAACCCGAGAGAGAGAGACAGAGAGAGAGAACAACCCGAGAGAGAGCAGAGAGACAACCCGAGAGAGCAGAGAGAGACAACCCGAGAGTGCGAGAGAGACAATCCCGAGAGAGCAGAGACAACCCGAGAGAGAAGAGAGAGACAACCCGAGAGAGCAGAGAGAGACAACCCGAGAGAGCAGAGAGAGACAACCCGAGAGAGCAGAGAGACAACCCGAGAGAGAGACAACCCGAGAGCAGAGACAACCCGAGAGAGCAGAGAGAGACAACCCGAGAGAGAGAGAGACAACCCGAGAGAGCAGAGAGAGACAACCCGAGAGAGCAGAGAGAGACAACCCGAGAGAGCAGAGAGAGACAACCCGAGAGAGCAGAGAGAGACAACCCGAGAGAGCAGAGAGCAGAGACAACCCGAGAGAGCAGAGAGAGACAACCGAGAGAGCAGAGACAACCCGAGAGAGCAGAGAACCCGAGAGACAACCCCGAGAGAGCAGAGAGAGACAACCCGAGAGAGCAGAGAGAGACAACAACCGAGAGAGCAGCAGAGACAACCCGAGAGAGCAGAGAGAGACAACCCGAGAGAGCAGAGAGAGACAACCCGAGAGCGCGGAGAGGCGGCGGGCAGAGGAGAGAGTCGGGCGCTCCGTGTCTGGTAAGTGTGACGTCGGTCTCTCTCTGCCCCCCATACACATCAGATCTGTACCCGCTCAGTGCGGGGCGATCGCCCCCAAATGTCCCTCCACCCCTAATCACTTCTCCTGTTGGATGTTTTTGGTGGAGAAATTAGATTTTATAATCGCTATCCAATGAACGATCGCTGAACACACAGAGAGGAGGGCGGAGCTGAGTGAGCAGACAGGAGGGTGGAGCTGAACACACAGAGAGGAGGGCGGAGCTGAGTGAGCATTTAGGAGGGCGGAGCTGAGTGCGCAGACAGGAGGGCGGAGCTCAGTATTGGGTGGAGCAGGAGAGGGATGTCCCCCCACCAGACTTTTATTACTGTCTGGGACCCCATGGAGGACATTTCCCTTCACTTCCTGTGTGGCCCCTGGACAGGAAATGAGGGAAAACCACCCTACTGGACTTAGCAATGATACCCCCCGATGGGGGGTCTCACCCTTCCCCCAGCTCCACCCAAAACCAAATAAAAGTTTTGTGTGTCAGACGGGCTTCTGATGGAGGCCACAAGTGGACCCTTCAACAGACATGGTCCACCATTGTCACCATCCGCCCTGAGAAATGCCACGCAGCCATTGGTGGAGGGCATGGAGACAGGAAGTGGCTGCAGGAGATCCGCAGCACTGAGATGGACAATGTAGGAAAAAATGAGAAAAACATCGACTTTCTGCTACTTGAGTCTGTTGCAAGGTGAATAGGAAGGTTCTGTAACAGAACCGACCCATCTGCACCAATGTAACAGAACCGACCCCGACTGTACTGAGTACTTCCGTTAGACTCCCTTCCCTGTCCGAACACAGATCCCCGGACCCCACCGCTGACCATACAGGACGAGACACACCAGACATGAAGGAAACCAGGAGATAGACGGCTTTATTGTAACCCAGATACAAGATATATACACTCAGGGGACAATCCCCCCTCCCTGCATAATGACACAGGGCGGGACACACCCCCCTCCCTGACATAATGACACAGGGCGGGGCATTCCCCCTCCCTGCATAATGACACAGGGCGGGGCAATCCCCTCTCCCTGCATAATGACACAGGGCGGGGCAATCCCCCCTCCCTGCATAATGACACAGGGCGGGGCAACCCCCCTCCCCGCATAATGACACAGGGCGGGGCAAACTACATCTAGTAACAAGAGATACACCAACAGACAGTCCCATCAGGGGGAGGGCTGCTGGAGACACCCTCCCCCACCAAGCCAAAACACAAACACATCCCATAATAGTTTGCTCCCAAGCCAGACACACAATAGAACAATGGGATGCAACCTCATGACACCACAAAATCCACAACCCCCCCCAATATTAGGACAGATCCCCCTGTACCCCTAACAGGCACAGGGGGACTTACACATAAGAGGGATATGGGGAGCTGAGATAGGGGTCTCCCCACCTCTCCAAAGGGGGCTGTGTTCCATGGGCCCCCCACCCAAAGTCACTCCCGTCATGTATCTCCAGGAGACTAACGCAGGAGGAGACGCCGAAGACTGGAATGGACTCCGAAGTTAGTCTGTACTTCCAGTCCCCCAATGCCGGCACCCACACAGGACCCCAAATAAATTGTCCCCCACAAAGCATTCCTCACCCAGCCAACCTCTGCCTCTCCCGTAGAACATACCCGAAGCTGGGGAGAAGTACGGACTGGTCCTTCTCCCTGAAGTCCTCTCAGCCACTGGAGAGAAGACAGAGTGGCTGGGCCGACTCCATCATGCGGTGAGGGATCTGGGCCGACTCCATCATGCGGTGGGGGATCTGGGCCGGCTCCATCATGCGGTGGGGGATCTGGGCCGGCTCCATCATGCGGTGGGGGATCTGGGCCGGCTCCATCATGCGGTGGGGGATCTGGGCCGGCTCCATCATCATGCAGTGGGGGATCAGGACCGACTGCCCAGCATCCCTGGGGTACCCAGGTGGTGACTGTAGTCTCCTCCACTTTGACTTGATGGACCTCCCCCAGTGTTTGCAAAGTACGGCTGACCTCCTCCTGTCCCAATGCCGGACCCTCTTCTGGGGTTGTGTCAGTGGAGACCGAAGTCCCATCCATGGATCAGCTCAAGCTGCCGTTGTGAGGTGCCGATTGCATCCTCTTCCTGTAGCTCCTGCGGTGCTGATTGTTGTGGGCAGAGGTCACCCACGCCATGCCCTGAGGCCAGCTCTTCTGCTGGAGGCTCACCGGCTGGTTCCTCCTCAGCAGAAAAGTCAATCAGATCCCCAGTCTCTGGAACTGGTGTCTGGGGGTTGGGGGTTCACCATCTCCTGTCCGTCAGAAGATGTTACCAGTGCTGGGCAGAGGTCACTAATGTTTGGCCCTGTTGCCACCTCTTCTGCTGGAGGCTCACCAGGTTGTTTTACCTCAGCAGAGAAGTTGTCACCCTGAAATATTCCTGCTCTGCGTACCATCGCCTGCTGGACCAGCCTGTCCAACACAGTCATCCATTGCTCCTGGGGTCGCTTTCCCAGGAATGGCATCTGTAACTTCCGATGGTCCCTGGCCCGCCCCCCTGGGGTTGGATAGAACTTGTCCTTGTCCATACCAGCAACCTGGAGGGCTCCTCTCCAAAGCACCTCCCAAATCCGCTGCCTGAGCTCCAGGTACTGATCCGCAGACACAGTCCTGGGGTATGGTGCAAGAACGGTCTGTAGCAGCTCCCGGAAACTCTGATGTCAGGTCCATATCTCCACTGGGGTGACCGACGTCTCCTTTCCTGATCTTGGATCCCGGTGGTGGTTTGGACGTGTTCACAGCCAGGAAGCACAATCCCACCGCTGCCACCAATGTAACTGAACCGACCCCGACTGCACCAATGTAACGGAACCCCCCCCAATGACTGCCCGACCACCATGTAACGAACCGACCCCGACTGCACCAATGTAACGAACCGACCCCGACTGCACCAATGTAACTGAACCGACCCCGACTGCACCAATGTAACGAACTGACCCCGACTGCACCCCCGACCCGACTGCAACAATGTAACGAACGACCCCGACTGCACCAATGTAACGGAACCGACCTCAACTGCACGGATGTAACTTCCGTTAGACTCCGGCCCAGACTCCCAATGTCAGAACACACTATCCACGGGACACCACCGCTGACCAATAACTAGACTAGATAACACCCGAGACTTGTATGAAAGACCGAGAGATAGACTACTTTATTTTAATAAAGATACAAGATGCATATACACTCAGGGAACAACCCCCCTCCCTGCACAAGGAACACAGGGCGGGGATACAATCCCCCCCCCCTCCCTGCATAATGATACAGGGCAGGGCAATCCCCCCTCCCTGCATAATGATACAGGGCGGGGCAATCCCCCCTCCCTGCATAATGACACAGGGCGGGGCAATCTACATTTAGTAACAAGAGACACATCAGCAGACAGTCCCATGAGGGGGGAGGGCTGCTGGAGACACCCCCCACCAAGCCAATACACAAACACATCCCATAATAGTTTACTCCTAAGCCAGACACACAATAGAACAAGGGGGAGGCACCACATGGCACCACAAAATCCACAACCCCCCCCCCCCAATATTAGGACAGGGTCTCCCCCACCTCTCCAAAGGGGGCTGTGTTCCATGGGCCCCCCATCCAAAGTCACCCCCGTCACAGGTTCCATCACTGATCTCCTGAAAATTCCGGTTTCCTGGCTGTCATGTTCATCTCTTGGCTTCAGCCCCAGCAAGTACCCAGAGAAGGTTTTCACACTTCCCTTGTTTGGCATGCTTCTTCTGGGGTCACCGACTCAGAGACCATGTAAGCCAGAGGATCGGGATAACAGCCATGCTGCCGGCATTTTCAGAAAGAGCTCAGCGATGAGCGTTTTCCTGGAAGGATCTGATTGTACGAAGATCTCTGGTGTAGGTCGGTGCAGATTGTGCGGTTGACTCTTCTCCAATGTTCTCCTGCAGATGGAGAGATGATGTCCGGAGATTCCTCCAATATGGCCGCCATTAAAGAAGAGCTGATGTCCGCCCTTTGGCTGAGCTCTCCCAGCGACCCCGGCCTCACCACAGTGAAATGTGAGGAGGACACCTCTTGGAGTGGAGAAGATCTCCAGTCGGTGGCCCTGCTGGAAGTGAAGAAGTTCTTCTGTTGTCCCGTGTGTGGTAAAAGATTCGCCCAGAGACACAATCTGGTGAAACATCAGCGGATCCACAGCGGTGAGCGCCCGTACGCCTGCGGCCAATGTGGGAAGAGCTTCATACAGAAGCAGCACCTCACCAAGCACCAGCGTCTACACACCGGCGAACGGCCCTACGTGTGCCAAGTGTGCGGCCGCGGCTTCAGCCTGAAACACAACCTGACCACGCACCTGAGGATTCACACCGGAGAGAAACCGTATCCGTGTGCCGAATGCGGCAAGAACTTCAGCCGCCGCGTCAATCTACGCACTCATCAGAAGTCTCACCAAAAGAGGCGCTGCCAAGAGAACAAGCTGCCAGCCAACAAGGGGCCAAATCTGAGCCACAAGGCCACCAACTCTGAGAAACTTCCAGATTATCGCAACCTCAAAGAGGAGCCGAACACGGGATACGCCGTGAACGACTGGCAGATGGGTCACCTCGTTCCCAAAGAGGAACCGCATGTGGGGATATTTAGGACATCAGCAGAGAGATAATGTGGCTCTCAAAGACGAACCTCATACCGGATTTGTGGTCAGCCAATGGGGTCCCACCACTGCTCCTGCCCATGACGACGGGTCAAACGAAGGATACGTAGTGAACGTCTTGCAGATCGATAATGATCCACCAAACCATGAGTCGGATCTCAGCCAAGTGACCAACCCCCGACCGTTCATCTGCCCCGAGTGCGGGAAACGCTTCGCGAACAAGCAGACGTTTATCAATCACTACAGGATCCACACCGGACAAAGACCCCACGAATGTCCTGAGTGCGGACGGAGCTTTGTCCAGAAGCAGCACCTCACCAAACACCTCCGCGTCCACAGCGGAGAACGCCCCTTCGTGTGCGGCCAGTGCGACCGAAGTTTCAGCATGAAGCACAATCTCTTCACACACCTGAAGATACACAGTGGGGAAAAGCCTTTCAGCTGCTCCGAGTGCGAGAAGAAATTCAGCCGGCGGAGCACCTACCTGGCACACCAGAAAATCCACTACAAAGGGCCCCTGGAAGACGCACAAAATACATTCAATCCTCTAGAGGAGGTCGCCTCAGCTCCTAAGAAACTCCACATGATAAAACCGGCTGTTCCTTGGACATCCCTGGGAGGACTAAAGATGTACAAGTGCCATGTCTGCGCCAAGGTCTTCAAGCAAAAACACCCTCTGATCACCCACCTTCGAATCCACTCCGGAGAGAGACCCTTCTCCTGCCAGGAGTGCGGCAAGAACTTCATCCAGAAGCAGCACCTGACCAAGCACCTGCGGCTGCACAGCGGGGAGCGGCCCTTCAGCTGCCAGCACTGCGGCAAACAGTTCAACATTAAACATAACCTGGTGACCCATCAGAGAACCCACACCGGAGAACGTCCATTCTCCTGCCTGGACTGTGGTAAGACCTTCAACCGGCAAGGAATCCTCAACATGCATCGTAGAACACATGATGCAGACTCACCTGGAGACCCAACGTGTGGAAACACAAAGACTGAGAAGTCATCGTTGGCTGGTGATAGCGGAGAGAGTCTGGACAATGAAGAGACGATAGCTAGGCCTCAGAAAGTGCTACAAACTACTTCTTCACTTGACATTGATGTCACCGGTCAACCAAGTCCGCTCACCAGTCAACCAAGTCTTGTCACCGGTCAACCAAATCTTGTCACCGGTCAACCAAATCTTGTCACCGGTCTACCAAGTCTTGTCACCGGTCTACCACGTCTTCCTACTGGTCAACCCAGTCTTGTCACCGGTCTACCACGTCTTCCTACTGGTCAACCCAGTCTTGTCACCGGTCTATCCAGTCTTGTCACCGGTCTACCAACTCTGAGCAGACACAAAGATTCCCACACCAAGGGCACTTCACACTTTTCCTGTCCACGTTGTGGCCAGATATTTGGCCAAAGAGAGGACCTTCTCCAGCATGAACATCTTCACAAAGGGGAGAGACTGTACGCTTGCCACCAGTGCGGGAAAAGGTTCCTACAGAAGAAGAACTTGACCAAGCATCAGAGGCTGCACATGGGCTACAAACCCTTCACGTGCAACATCTGTAATAGAAGCTTCAGTCTGAAACACAATCTCGTCACCCACCAGAGGACCCACACCGGGGAAAAGCCCTTTCTGTGCACGCAGTGTGGTCGAAGCTTCAGCCGTAGGGAGACACTGAATAACCATCGAAGGAGCCATCAAGCTCACCAGAAAAAAGGTGGCACCGCTAGGTCGAAACCCATCACCAGCAACAAGGGACCTTTAAACAATGGGCGTACCTCATCAGATGAACAACAGGTCATAACTGGCCACCAAAGTCCTCGAACTGATGACATCGTACCACAGGAGCCACAACCTGTATCTGACCACCGGACAGAACCAACCCATGGAGAAGCTGAGGTGGAGGTGCAGCCGGTAACCTCCCAGGATCATATCCGTATCTTCATATGTCCCATGTGTGGAAAGTCCTTCAACCAGAAGCACACGTTGATCAACCACCTCCGGATCCATTCCGGGGAAAGGCCCTACTCCTGCCACTTATGCAGGAAAAGTTTTATCCAGAAACAACACCTGACCAAGCATGTCCGCCTTCACACTGGCGAGAGACCGTATGCCTGCCACGAGTGTGGGCGGAGCTTCAGTCTGAAACACAATCTGACCACCCACCAGCGGATCCACACGGGGGAACGGCCTTACCCCTGCAATCACTGCGGGAAAAGGTTCAACCGCCGCAGCATTCTTCTGAGCCATGAGAGGACTCATCTTCTGGTCCCACCACCCGCCGGCCGGAGCCGGTGAGCTCCAAGTCTGAGAGGAGTATCTGGCCAACGCCAAAATCCAGATGGTGACACTGAAGGAGGAAGTTGTCAGCACGTTGCCATAGTGATGTCTCTGACACCCCACCATCCAATCCCCAGGGGTGAAATATATGAAGGGCAACCTCTGCTCAGATCTTTTATACAGACTGGAGGACGGGGACTTCCCAGAAGATCCAGATTCAAGTTCTCCTGACTTTCCCCTTCCAGCCGGGATTTATACCAAACATGGACATATCAGCCTGGGATCTCTGACCCGCCCCCGAGGACCTCCACTGATGGGTGACCACTTCCATGATCAGGAGATGTCTGCCCACCTCAGGCCACTTGTCCACCAACATTAAAGCAGAACTCCAGGCAGACAGCCGAGGTTTTGTATACGGGAACCCACCAAGTGATTCGTCAATACATTCAGCCAATATCGACACAGACAGGTCTGTAGACTCCCCACATGAAGGTTTTATATCTGCCTGGAGTTCTCCTTTAAGTCCTGGGGGGCGGGGAAGGGGGCAGGGGGGGGCGGGGAGGTGACACACTGTGTTGAATGGACTAATAATGGCCAAACGTGTCCCAATGTCACTGCAACCGCAACACAGACAGAGTCCCCTGAGGGAGTGCAGTCCTGGGGGGTCACCATGCCACGCAATGCGAGGAAGACTTGATGTGGGCCCCAAACCTGAGGGCCCCGAGTGGAGGCGAGCGGCTGTCATTTTGTACTTTTTTTCATAATAAAGCAAAATGTTGGATCCTACGATTGGTGGAGTCTCCTCTGTTCTGTGATTGGTGGAGTCTCCTCTGTTCTGTGATTGGTGGAGTCTCCTCTGTTCTGTGATTGGTGGAGTCTCCTCTCGTCTACGATTGGTGGAGTCTCCTCTGTTCTGTGATTAATGGAGTCTCCTCTGTTCTGTGATTGGCGGAGTCTCCTCTGTTCTGTGATTGGTGGAGTCTCCTCTGTTCTATGATTGGTGGAGTCTCCTCTGTTCTATGGTTGGTGGAGTCTCCTCTGTTCTGGGATTGGTGGAGTCTCCTCTGTTCTGTGATTGGTGGGAGTCTCCTCTGTTCTATGATTGGTGGAGTCTCCTCTGTTCTATGATTGGCGGAGTCTCCTCTGTTCTGGGATTGGTGGAGTCTCCTCTCATCTACGATTGGTGGAGTCTCCTCTGTTCTGTGATTGGTGGAGTCTCCTCTCATCTACGATTGGTGGAGTCTCCTCTATTCTACGATTGGTGGAGTCTCCTCTGTTCTGTGATTGGTGGAGTCTCCTCTGTTCTACGATTGGTGGAGTCTCCTCTGTTCTACGATTGGTGGAGTCTCCTCTGTTCTACGATTGGTGGAGTCTCCTCTGTTCTGTGATTGGTGGAGTCTCCTCTGTTCTGTTTGGTGGAGTCCCTCCTCTGTTCTGTGATTGGTGGAGTCTCCTCTGTTCTGTGATTGGTGGAGTCTCCTCTGTTCTGTGATTGGTGGAGTCTCCTCTGTTCTGTGATTGGTGGAGTCTCCTCTGTTCTGTGATTGGTGGAGTCTCCTCTGTTCTGTGATTGGTGGAGTCTCCTCCTCTGTTCTGTGATTGGTGGAGTCTCCTCTCGTTCTGGAGATTGGTGGAGTCTACGATTGGTGGAGTCTCCTCTGTTCTGTGATTGGTGGAGTCTCCTCTGTTCTGTGATTGGTGGAGTCTCCTCTCGTCTACGATTGGTGGAGTCTCCTCTGTTCTGTGATTGGTGGAGTCTCCTCTGTTCTATGATTGGTGAAGTCTCCTCTGTTCTGTGATTGGTGGAGTCTCCTCTGTTCTGTGATTGGCGGAGTCTCCTCTGTTCTGTGATTGGTGGAGTCTCCTCTGTTCTGGGATTGGTGGAGTCTCCTCTGTTCTGTGAATGGTGGAGTCTCCTCTCATCTACGATTGGTGGAGTCTCCTCTGTTCTATGATTGGTGGAGTCTCCTCTGTTCTATGATTGGTGGAGTCTCCTCTGTTCTACGATTGGTGGAGTCTCCTCTGTTCTGTGATTGGTGGAGTCTCCTCTGTTCTGTGATTGGTGGAGTCTCCTCTGTTCTGTGATTGGTGGAGTCTCCTCTCGTTTATGATTGGTGGAGTCTCCTCTGTTCTGTGATTGGTGGAGTCTCCTCTGTTCTGTGATTGGCGGAGTCTCCTCTGTTCTGTGATTGGTGGAGTCTCCTCTGTTCTGTGATTGGCGGAGTCTCCTCTGTTCTGTGATTGGCGGAGTCTCCTCTGTTCTGTGATTGGCGGAGTCTCCTCTCGTCTATGATTGGTGGAGTCTCCTCTGTTCTACGATTGGTGAAGTCTCCTCTCGTCTATGATTGGCGGAGTCTCCTCTGTTCTGTGATTGGCGGAGTCTCCTCTGTTCTGTGATTGGCGGAGTCTCCTCTGTTCTGTGATTGGCGGAGTCTCCTCTGTTCTGTGATTGGCGGAGTCTCCTCTCGTCTATGATTGGTGGAGTCTCCTCTGTTCTACGATTGGTGGAGTCTCCTCTGTTCTGTGATTGGTGGAGTCTCCTCTGTTCTGTGATTGGTGGAGTCTCCTCTGTTCTGTGATTGGCGGAGTCTCCTCTGTTCTGTGATTGGCGGAGTCTCCTCTGTTCTGTGATTGGCGGAGTCTCCTCTGTTCTGTGATCGGCGGAGTCTCCTCTCGTCTATGATTGGCGGAGTCTCCTCTGTTCTGTGATTGGCGGAGTCTCCTCTCGTCTATGATTGGTGGAGTCTCCTCTGTTCTGTGATTGGCGGAGTCTCCTCTGTTCTGTGATTGGCGGAGTCTCCTCTGTTCTGTGATTGGCGGAGTCTCCTCTGTTCTGTGATCGGCGGAGTCTCCTCTCGTCTATGATTGGCGGAGTCTCCTCTGTTCTGTGATTGGCGGAGTCTCCTCTCGTCTATGATTGGTGGAGTCTCCTCTGTTCTGTGATTGGCGGAGTCTCCTCTGTTCTGTGATTGGTGGAGTCTCCTCTGTTCTAAGATTGGTGGAGTCTCCTCTGTTCTAAGATTGGTGGAGTCTTCTCTGTTCTGTGATTGGTGGAGTCTCCTCTCGTTTACGATTGGTGGAGTCTCCTCTGTTATTGGACAATCTCCAAGTTATCCATGAGATTCCCAGCAATCGTTCCCCCGGTTCCAGTGACCACATGACAGAAATGTGGGCGGAGTTCAATGGGGACATTGTATTGGTTGTCAGTCAGGGAATGTCAGTTGAGATGTGATGGAAGTTGTGTGGATTGCCATGTGTGAGGGGAACATGAGATGTATGTGGGCTGGGGACCTCGTGGGCGGAGCTCTGCCTCTATGAATGTGTGGAGCACAGGGGGTGGAGTGCGGTTAGGAAAGAAGGATTTGATCCCCTTCACAAAACATGACTTAGTACTTGGTGGCCAATCCCTTGTTGGCAATCACAGAGGTCAGACGTTTCCTGGAGTTGGCCCCCAGGTTCGCACACATCTCAGGAGGGATTTTGGCCCACTCCTCTTGGCAGATCCTCTCCAAGTCATTAAGGTTTGGTGGCTGACGTTTGGCAACTCGAACTTTCAGCTCCTCCACAGATTGTCCATCGGATGAAGGTGTGGAGACTGGCTAGGCCACTCCAGGACCTTAATGTGCTTCTTCTTGAGCCGCTCCTTTGTTGCCTTGGCCGTGTGTTTTGGGTCATTGTCATGCTGGAACACCCATCCACCACCCATTTTCAATGCCCTGGCTGAGGGAAGAAGGTTCTCACCCAAGATTTGAGGGTACATTGCCCCGTCCATCGTCCCTTTGATGCGGTGCAGTTGTCCTGTCCCCTTAGCAGAAAAACCCCCCCAAAGCAGAATGTTTCCACCACCATGTTTCACAGTTGGGATGGTGTTCTTGGGGTCATAGGCAGCATTCCTCCTCCTCCGAACACGGCGAGTTGAGTTGATGCCAAAGAGCTGGATTTTGGTCTCCTCTGACCACAACACTTCCCACCAGTCCTCCTCGGCATCATTCAGATGTTCAGTGGCAGACTTCAGACGGGCTGGACATGGGCTTTCTTGAGCAGAGGGACCGTGCGGGCACTGCAGGATTTCAGTCCTTGTCGGCGTAGTGTGTTACCAATTGTTTTCTTGGTGACTGTGGTCCCAGCTGCCTGGAGATCATTGACAAGATCCTCACGTGTAGTTCTGGGATGATTCCTCACTGTTCTCATGATCATTGACACCCCACGAGGTGAGATCTTGCATGGTGCACCAGACCTAGGGAGACTGACACTTGTTTTGTGTTTCTTCCATTTGTGAATGATTGCACCAACTGTTGTCACCTTCTCACCAAGCTGCTTGGCCATAGTTTGGTAGCCCAGTCCAGCCTTGTGTAGGTCTACCATCTTGTCCCTGACATCCTTGGACAGCTCTTTGGTCTTTGCCATGGTGGAGAGTTTGGAATCTGATGGTTTGATGGCTCCTGTGGACAGGTGTCTGTTATACAGGTAACACAATGAGATTAGCAGCACTCCCTTTAAGAGACTGCTTCTAATCTCAGCTTGTTACCTGTATGAGAGACACCTGGGAGCCAGAAATCCTGCTGAATGATAGGGGATCAAATCCTTCTTTCCCTCATTGTATATATACAACCAGCCTGGAATGGTGGGCGGGCCTAGCGGCAGCGGTGATGGGGGGGCTCTGGCACCACCCCTCTGGAAAGGAGTTCTATATATTTGGTGACACCACACCACACTTCCTGTCCGAGGTGACAACATTCCCTGTACTGTGCCTGTGGGGGGGAAGGGTTGTCACCCCGGACAGGAAGTGTATAACGGGGGGGATGGGGGACTACACAACACCTCCCCCACCTCACATCACACACAGAGCGGAGGTTTGTACAAGAAGGGGTTCTGTAGGGTGGGGGGGAGGGGTTCTGTAGGGTGCCAAGGATGATGGGGTAGGGGTTCTGTAGTTTGGGGGAAAGGAGTTCTCTATATTTGGTGACATCTGATAAAGACTCCGCCCAGTGGGTGTGTCCCAGCAATAGGGGAGGGGC